TAAAATTGACATAATATATTTATTTTAAAATATATTAAACTATGAATACTTTGATTTTTTACAAATTATTGTTTAATTTTAATAAAATTTGATATAAACATGTAAAATGATATAAACTTTCAATTTAATAGTTGAATTTATAAAATTTATATTTAATATAAAATTATTAAATAATACATCGATGTCATGTTAACTCTCGGCTTTTAAGAATAAAATTTCTTGGAACTTGATTCTTGGAAATGTAATATCATCCGTTAACAAACCTCTCCTTGATAAAATGTTTAATTTGCAGCAAAAAGGAAACTCTCACGTAAAAAAAAGAACAAGAATCATAACCACTGTACATGGCCCACCAAATTGCCTTCTTTCGGAGAATCCCACTGTTATGTCTTGCACCACACGCACTCTCATAGTGGTTTGGCTATAAACACACCACCCTACACACCCATCACCATTCACCACAACTCTATATTCCATTACCTCCCACTTTTGAATACATTATTATTCCTTCTCTGTTCACATTCCTTCATACACATAACCATGTCTTCTCAGGTCCTCAACCCATTTCCTGTTTATGTTCTTGTCTTTTCCTCTTCACTCGGTTTTCTTGTGTTAGATCATTGATTCTGTGTCCTTTTTTTTTTTTTTTTTTTGAGATTTTGCTTCATATAGTTTTTTGTTCTAGGTGTTTGTGCTGAATTTGATGAGTTTCTGAGTTGAGATATTAAGATTTCTTGTTACTATTTTTTATTTTATTTTTTTAATAATAATTGCTAATTTGTCTAGCTTGTGGGATAGTGTAGGAAGAGTTATTTTATTGCTATACATAGGTAAAGGTGGAATATTTTGTTTGAAATGTGATTGCCCATGAAATTTGATTCTAAAAACAAAATACGATTTCATTTCAAAGTTTATTTTTTTTGGGGATCCTAGAATGGAGTATTAGTAATTCTTGGGCTTACAATTTTGAGTTTTAATCAGCTTAGAAAATGTTCAAGTTTAAAATCTAATAAGGATCCTTGTAAGAAGTTGCAGCAGATCAGTGCTTGCTTTCAGTTCTAAAGGGTTAAAAATTAAAGTGATGTTGCTTTGTTCACTTGTATTTGGTTTTCATCGATCATCAGTTACTCTGTCAATGGTTGCAGATCTTGTCCTGAACGATTGCATCTAACATATCTGATGTTGTTATCTATTTTTCATGCTTTTTCTTAATGATATGCTCCGATTAAGTGTGATTGCTTGATATAGAATTCAACATTATTGCTTACAAACAAACTAATTAAAGTGATGTTGCTTTGTTCACTTGTATTTGGTTTTCATCGATCATCAGTTACTCTGTCAATGGTTGCAGATCTTGTCCTGAACGATTGCATCTAACATATCTGATGTTGTTATCTATTTTTCATGCTTTTTCTTAATGATATGCTCCGATTAAGTGTGATTGCTTGATATAGAATTCAACATTATTGCTTACAAACAAACTAATTAATAGAACATCAAATAGCAAGAAAGTAACAATGGCTGGTCCTTCCTTGTTTGTTTCTAGTCCTAGATTACGGTGTAGAGAATCTGCCCGTAATATTAAAAATTGGTTGCAATAGTGTGTTTTTTGTTTATTTTTTGTTTAGTTTATAGGAATGGCTTCTAATTGATTCTTACAGTCTTTGAATATGACTCCACATAGGTATTTCCAGTTGTGTATATCTGAACCTTCAAAATCTAGTTTTATGTCAGATATTTTAAGGTCACTAGAATCTCACTTTAACAGCAACGGATCATTCTTTTCTATTCTCACATTACAGATGATAGTATATTAATCTCTTGTTCCCTACATTTGTGTCTCTGATGTCATTCCATGCTCTCTTCCTTTACATCTTCTATTTCTTTCCCTTTTTAAGTTGATTCCAATTTCTATTGTATTGTAATTATGAATTTGTTTCTTTTATATATGGGTGTTGTTGGGGGTTAAGATGGTAATTTGTACTTTTGTTTGCTCTTTCTATCTGAATTTTTTCATTATGGTCGCAGACTGTTGTCCTCAAAGTTGGTATGTCATGTCAAGGGTGTGCTGGAGCAGTGAATAGGGTTTTGGGAAAAATGGAAGGTATTATTCCTGTAAACTGACTCTGCTATCAGATCCAAAATGAACACGATCTATTAATTGTAAAAATGTAATATATTACATGTCAACTTTATATGGAAGTGGCTTGCTTCTGTCAAATTTTCAATCAAAATATGCTGCACGCTTCACATTTTAATCACCAGAAGTATTTGGTTTTAAATGTAGGTTTTTTTTCTTAATTCTGATGTATTTTTACCTTCTTCCATTCCCTTCTTCATTAGAATACTTTAAATTGTAATGTTAAACTCCTGAAGTCCTTGTAAATGTCTTTTTCTCTTAAAACTTCTTGCCATTTCTTGTTGAGCTGTGATTATATAGTTATGTTGTTTTTCTCTTCACAATCAACTCTAGGACATCATCAATAATATCCTGCATCCCTTATTAGAATGTAGTTTGAATTCGAGGGGTCTTCTACATAGGGCCATTGAAAACCATCCTTAGGGTATCAATGATTCTATTTATTCTATTTTCTTCATCTGTAAGTTGCAGGCCTGGTATTTCTGAGCCTAGTTTCAACTTGTGTGAATTAATGTAACATTCCACTTTAAATCCGTGATCTTCAGTTGGGTATTGTGAATAACCTCTTTAGGATTTTGAATTGATTTTCTCGAATATAACTTCACAGTATCTCTATTTCAATATCTAATATGATAATTTCATTGCAGTTTCAGAAATGTTTAAAGGGTTTTCAAAAGCTTTCAATTTTAGTTAGTATTGCGTGACACAACCGAGGTGATTGAAATAGTCTTTTTTTTTTGTACTTGTATATTAGTAGGATGAAATGCCAAGCAGAAGTTTTGTTCATTGTCCGTTATTAGCTTTAGCTTCATAGAAAAGATTCTTTCTAATGGAGTAACAATCCAATTCAATGGAACTGTGGTTATCCTCTTCAACAGATCATGTTCCCTGACTATATTACTCTGTATATTCTTTATCCTGGAATATTTCACTGTCAACATTGCCAATTTACTATCACCATGCATGACATGTATCGATTTTCTAATTTCTGACATTGTGCATGTCATTTAAACGTTTAATAATTCCATAGCAAAGAGGTATACATTTAAATATGCTAAATAAGCACCGACTCTAGCCGTAACTGTTGTATCAATTTCCTGTGACTGAATAGAAAATTGGAAACATAGCAAAAATTATATAACTAAAGTCTTCAACTCTGAAAGTTAATTTGCTTCAATGGTTTTGATGGAAGAAGAAAACAAGCTGTGTCAAATTTTATTTTGGTTTGCAGCTCCAGTGATTAGGCCCTAAACCCACCAAACCTTTTGCAATGTTAAAGCAAAATAAAAGTGCAAATGTTTACAGGTGTTGAGTCATTTGACATTGATCTGAAGGAGCAGAAGGTGACAGTGAAAGGAAATGTACAGCCAGATGAGGTTCTGCAAGCAGTTTCCAAAACTGGGAAGAAGACTGCATTCTGGGTGGATGAAGCACCACCAGAGAACAAGCCTTCAGAAACTGCACCTGTTGCCTCAACTGAGAATGATAACAAGTCTTCGGAAAGTGCACCTGTTGCCTCAACTGAAAATGATAAGAAGCCTTCAGAAAGTGCACCTGTTGCCTCAGACAACAAGCTTTCAGAAAGTGCACCTGTTGCCTCAGACAACAAGCTTTCAGAAAGTGCAACTGTTGCCTCAGCTGAGCCTGAAAACAAACCTGCAGAAACTGCTATTGAAACTGTTGCCTAAGGCATTTGTGGTTCTATTTCTATGTGGGAGTAGGTCTGTTTCAAATAGTATTTGATGTGCTTTGTGCTTGTTAGCTGAAATATTTGGTGCGCTGTTACTGGTATATTAAGCTACAATAACTCGTGGCCTACTTTTCACATATGTGATACATTTCAAGTGTGCTATTATCTAGAATTTGAACTTGTTCCACTTCTTATTTTCCTGATATTCTTACCACACCACGATCCTATTGGGAAGAAGAGCTTATCTTACAGTTATTTGGATATGTGAATTTCTTATGCTGCATTCAAGGAAGACAATTCATTGGATAATTTTCTTTGCAAGTGACCCATATTTGCATTCAAGGAAGACAATTGATAGATAATTTTTTATTCTTACAATTTTGTTTGCGGTTCTTATTTACAAATTAAATTTGGGTATGGTGAGTCCAGATTTATTTTGTGAGTCCTAACAATGCATTAGTGCGATCAACATACTAGGTGTTCGGAGTAGTTTAGCAGTCAAGGTGATCATACTTTAGCCAAAGTTTTAATAGGTAAGGTTATCGTTTCAAAGTTGGTTGAGATTTCGTAGAAAAAGGTGATCATACTTTAGCCAAAGTTTTAATAGGTAAGGTTATCGTTTCAAAGTTGGTTGAGATTTCGTAGAAAAATTAGGATGAGGCTCATTTTCCCATGTTTATAGATATGACATTCAAGCTTCAAAGTAGGAGGTTGAAGAGGCATTTGATCCACTTACACAAAGGGAGGGCAAAAAATGGATAGTAAATTTAATTAATCGATATAGTGAATGCAAAAAGTTTATAACATTTCATTATCCGTATTACTACATGCAATAGTTAACATTGATTACTATTTATAGATTTGGTTTACACAAGTAATTATGTATTAAAAGCATACTTTGGTCCATGTGAACTGACCGATAATGAAGATTGGATACTTGTTCCTAATCCAACAACTGGCATGGGAAGGTTGACAAAAATCAACAAGAATAAAAAATGAAATAGATTGGAACTCACAACAATGACAAAAAAAATGTAGCAAATGCAAACAAGGTAACAAAAGACACAATTGTTCATCACAATCTAACTATAAATATCAATCTACTAGTTTTTAGGATGTTACCAACTTACTGATATAGTAAATGCAGACAAGAAGGTCACATCAAACTCAATTGTCTGTTAGAGTCTAACTTTAAATATCAATCTATCAATTTTTAGAATGTTACTAGTTTATTGATGTAATTGTTCTTTATGCAATTGTTAGCAACATATTTTGTCAAAGTTATCAATAATATAAGGTTAAATACCTAATTTAGTCCCTCATAATAATTAAAAATTTGAATTTGGTCCCACTTTATTTTTTTATTTCAATTTAGTCCCCAATAATTTAAAAACACATTAATGTGGGACTTCCGTCCAAATTCCACAAACGGTGTTAAATGTGGATGACGTGGATGCCACGTAAATGCATAGGTGACAAGGTTTTCTTCTTCTTCTTTAATGGTCTCATGCGTATGTCATGTGTTAGTTTTGCATTTGGAACGTCCCGATCTCAAACCAAAACTGTGACACCCTCTACCCCAACATATATATATGAAACATCTTCTTGGTTTAAATAAAATATTTATAATTAAAACAATAAATCCATTAACATAAGAGTAGAGGATTCACATTCGTATACTTCAAATATAGTCAAATGCGGAATTTATAACAAAATGAATCTTTTCCAAAATAGAATAACAATAAGGAATCATAAACTAAATCTAGTTATGCCCCGATGTCACATATCCTATCAGAGCACGCCCAATTGAAACTTAAGCCTCATCACCAACATGCACGTGCTGATGATCATCTGCAACACAATTTAAACATGTACAAAGAACAATAAGGGAGTGAGAAACATCTCACTCGATTCCAGGTGTAGAAATAACAATTAGGCAACACACACACAAATCATAACAATCGGCTTCATCACCAACATTCTCATGTTGATGGTCACCTACAACACAGTAGAAGACACACATAGAACAAATAGGAGAGTGAGAAACATCTCACTCAGGTTAAGGTGTAAAAATAACAGTCAGGCAACACACACACAAATCATAACAAAGCACAGCACAAAACACACATTAATCAAGCACAACTCAAGTCATACATACATTAGTAGCACATACACAGTCACTCATTATGCAATGATATCATGGACTCGACTCACAAATGCATGCATGTGGCACCAGTCACATATCACATGGTGCATTGTACAATATGGTAATATAACATTAAATATGATATATTATTACATAATTGTCACTCAGACTTTTATTTACATAATTAAGTTTCTTAAATTATGGTTTCTTGTCGCATGATTGTTACATGATTTCTACTTATAAAGGTAGAGATCCGCTATATTTCCTCCAAGTCACACAAATTGTTTAATATTTACTACACTTTTTTATAATGATGTTGGTGGATCAATTGAGAAATTATTCTATTATTTATAACATACATGTTTTCATAAGCTACAAAAATCACTAAAATAGTGTCAATGCCAATCAACACTCTTATATCAACCACATTTAGTAATTATGAATAGAAATGATCAATGATACTAATAGAAACCATGCCTATGAGAAATTTAAACATAAAACGTCTTAAAATTTGACAATATGGTACTATAACATTGAAATATGAAGTTAAAGTAGCATTAAGTATGATTTCTTGGTGCATTATTTCTCGCTCGGACTTCTATTTATAAAGCTAAGTATCTTAAATGATAGGTATATATATTGCTAACGGGTGAGTTGGAACTTGCTAAACATCAATGCCTTTAGTAGTGACTCAAATGGAGTGGTAACTTTAAATAAACATGTCACTAAGCTTGCAAACACGCATAAATAGTTGTTAATGTTATTATTCAATATTAATATGAAAGTCGACCTGCAATAAACGCAAAAGGATCTAATTAATGGAGATGAAGATTAATGTAGCTGGAAAATGATGAAGATTAATGCATATCTCTTGAACAGGTAATAACTACATTTTGATTTGCGAAGAAAAAAATGTATTGGAGGAAGTAAAGTTAGGGAACATGAAGTTTTGGGGTCTTTAATTAAACCTATCACTCAACTTGCAAACACGCATAAATAGTTGTTAATGTGGCCATTTAAGATTACTATGAAAGTCGAGCTGCAAGTAAATGCAAAAGGATCCGATTAATGGAGATCAAAATTAATGGATCTAGAAAGAGATGAGGATTAATCCATGTCTCTTGAACAGGTAAAAACTACATTTTGATTTGCTAATAAAAAATGTACCGGAGGAAGTAAAGTTAGGAAAGATGAAATTTTAGGGTCTTTTTGATCTTTGGTAGAAGGTTCCACATCACATCAGTCAACTTTACCATCTTTTGATAACACATGTTTCAAGATAGAGTAGAGAACAACAGTGAAAACATATTGGCTAAGGCTATATCCGTCTGTGGTGATGCTCACAAGCATGTAGAAAAGGAACATGAAGAATTAAATACCATGTAATTAAGCACTTCTCTTTTATTCCATTCTATGAACATACAGATAGTTTGTTTAATATAATATATGCATTTATATACACCTTACTACCCAAATTTTCTTGTTAGTGATTATATTAAGTAAGTTGACTTATCTAATATGTTCTTCAAAATAAGTGCGGCATGTTTGTTTGATTGTAGTTACTTTTGCAAATTAGTTACTATAACATACATCTTATGATTCAATTAAGTTAATTTAAAGGCAAAAATATATTTTTCGTCCCTTATATTATTTATTAGTGTCAATTTAGTCTCACTTTAATTAATTGAATCATCATCATCATCATCAAGCAAAGCATTACCAAAGTACACAACAAACAAAACATTGTCAGAGTACACAACAGAATCATGATAAGCACATAACACACATGTCCGGTTTGAATCAACTAGTGCTCTGATACCACTAAATGCTCCTTTGGAGGTTGTGGTGAATGAGCATTAGTGTGAGTGTGTTCATGGTGCATATTTATTTTGTGATGTAGTGATTGTGACACCATCTACCCCTTGTACATAATTATACAATGAATAGAGATAAAGAAAAATCTTCATAAATAGAATCTAAGTCTCTAACCACATAAGGGTAAAGAGCTCACATTCATAAAACATAAATCATAGTCTAATGTGGAAATTACAAAAGGATAAAATTAAGGTCTTCTAATCAATTTAACAAAAGTAGCATTCTAAGTTAATCCTAACTGCGTCCCGATGTCACATATCCTATCAGAGCACGCCCAACTGAAGCCTAGGCTTCATCACCAACATTCTCATGTTGATGGTCACCTACAACACAGTAGAAGACACAAGATAATATTCCGTAGATAATAATCATTTTTCTTGTAGTGACTTGGTGACAGAAGGTACACATGTTACATCACTTGGTGACCAAAAGGTACACCTGATTAGCTTGTTACATCACTTGGTGACCAAAAGGTACACTTGGTTAGCTTCTTGGTTAGCTTGTTACATCACGTGGTGACCAAAAGGTACACCTGGTTAGCTTGTTACATCACTTGGTGACCAGAGGGTACACCTGATTAGCTTGTTACATCACTTGGTGACCAAAAGGTACACCTGGTTAGCTTGTTACATCACGTGATGACCAAAAGGTACACCTGGTTAGCTTGTTACATCACTTGGTGACCAAAAGGTACACCTGGTTAGCTCATATATGCACATGATGCATGTCACACGTTCACAACCTCATGGACTCATCACTTCACTTGTCATGGAATTTCATGTCTTATCACATTTCACATTCTCATAGTCATGGATTATCTCATCTCATCACATTTCACATCCTCATAGTCATAGTGTTCACATTAGCACATTCTCATTCACATCATGAATCATGTCATTTGTTCATATTTCACATAGTCATACTCATAATTGTTCCTCATAGGATTTCGCACAAGAACCCATAAAGCACTCTAATTTATATCAAAGCATATCTAATTTTGAAATCAAATACGTATTAATCTCTACATCACACAAGAAACGTAACAAAACATTCAGAAAATAAAACAGAAAACATTTATATTTTGCCTGTTTTCTCATACGATTTCCCGTAGGAACCCACAGTGCACTCTAATTCATATCAAAATATATTCATTTTCAAAATTAATCACATACTCAT